ACAGCACCCTCACAAGCGCACACACAAACACCCTCACCCACATAGCACACTACCAGCACTCTCACACAGAAGTGTGTATATATATATATATGTGTATATATATGTGTGTATATATATATATATATATATATATATACACATATATATACACATACATACATATACACACACACACACACACACACACACACACACACACACACACACGCGGCGTGTGCTTGTGCTTTAGGGTGCACACCCTAATGCAATAGGCTGCGCACGCCCATGATCAGCAGGTGAACTTATTTGCCACGTCACTCACGCTTCTCCCCCAGCTAGCAATTGGTGAGACCGAAGCATCTACCCTGACTGAAGGGGGTTATATGTACTAAACAGCATGTTTTGAGAACTCGAGTAATTTGCAGTTTGTGTCACATCCATTTTTATCCATGAGTTTGTGGAACATACTGCTATAATTTAATTTGGATTTTTAAGGAAGGCACCTATATTTTTATTAATATATATATATATATATATATATATATATATATATATATATATTTTTTTTTTATAAAAAAAAATTTCTTCAGTACAATATTAAACAAAAATCTGCACACCAGTCGAGCCATAAGACTTGCTTTTCCCACAGAAATTACAAAATTTGCATTGATGTTACTACCGCAAAGGATTCTGGGTGGGCATATGCAAATTAGTTCAACAAAGACTCACCTTTTTGCCTCATTCTATTTTAAACATGGATCCCTTGGAGTTTGTGTTTGCTGTTTACAACAGCTTTGAAACACAACTCGGGAAGAGATACAAAGCCAGGGTACCACTCATGGACTGCGGTTTCATTGTTAATGCAATTCATCAGCATGAGGTTGGTTACTGGCTTGCTATTGAGTCTTGGAGGTACTTGCGAAGGGGTTTTCAATCACGATTTTTCCCCACCGTAACCTTTTTGGTTTTTGATTCATATAATTTTTTTTAGGCAGTGTCCACAGGAATTATTTGGTTTAGTTGTAGATGCATGTATTTGGTCCACTCCTCTACCCCCCTTCACTGTTGTATTGATTCTAAGGATGCTGGAGTTAGGAGGTATCCACGTATAAAGGAATGAAATTTTACTGTGTAATATTAAAACCATTGGAGTTATGCATAAAGTTCAGTTCTGTAGCAAAGTTGTAAACGCTGCGAAATCACTGTGGAAACAAATGGAATGTTCAATGCAGAAGGTTCCAATTTTAGAACTTTGCCCCAGAAATGCTCTTTAAATATAATTCTGTGTTTATTATTTCTAAAAGGAATATCCTCTGTGATTGTAAATATCAGAGACATTTAAACACATTCAAACTCCATGTAAAGGTCGTGTTTATTCAGAATATTTTCGGATGGCTTTATACATTCCTTATTTGATGATGCTGCGATGCCCACCTATATCCCATACATTATACAGAACGGTATTAAACCCAAGAATTGGGAATTGTGAAGAATTCACAAGAGAAATGCATATTCAAAGTCAGAACGACCACTATTGAGATTCTCCATGAAAGTTATTTTACTGGCATGGGATATATTGTTAACTCTCCACATTCCAGTTATAGTGAAAAGTTGTTTTGTAAAACACTCCAAAAAAACTACATACGCATCCATAGATGTTAGTGTTGTGCATTCCCTGCATATCTCAAGTTGGATTTTGGCAACTCCCCCTTGGGCACAGAGATGCAGAGAAATCCTGCTTTAAAACAATCCCATAATTCCCAGCTTGAGATGTAAAGGAGCACAGACAGGCACTATGTTTCAGACATCAACCTGCTTCTCTGCAGGAACTCTTAAAGGGACACTATAAACATCAAAACAACTTTAGCTTAATGAAGCAGTTTGGGTGTATAGATCATGCCCCTGCAGTCTCCCTGCTCAATTCTCTGCCATTTAGGAGTTAAATCACTTTGTTTATGCACTCTAGTCAGTCTGCATGAATACATAGTTTCATTTTTTGATGTTAACTTACTTTATAAAGTTTTTATCTCCAGTGCTGTAATTGAACTTTAATCACACACAAGAGGTTTCTACAAGGTCTAACAACTATTAACAGAGCAGTATATGAGCAATTCTAAATTAAAACAAACTGTGCAGTAAGGGAAGTTTAAACATTAGATCCTACTTTACAGGAAATGTTTAGGGAGGCTGTGCAAGTCACATCTAGGGTGGTGTGACAAGGGTTGCATAAACAAAGTGACAACTACTAAATGACGGAACCCGTGTGACTGCAGGGGCATAATCTATACATCAAAACGGCTTTATACAGATACAGTTGTTTTGATGACTGTAGTGTGACTTTAAAATCGACTAAGTCTCCCAGACCACTTCATGTTAATGAAGTTGTCTGGGTGCAGTGGTCCTGTATGTTTACCCCTTCAAAATAGCCATTTTGCAGGAAGGGCCATGCTCACTGTTAAGGGCTAGACACGTCTCTAGAGGCGTTGTTGCTTGCACTGCAAGAGCAGAGTAAAATGTGATGCTGAAGCTCTTAGGAAAGCGTTGGATTCTTTGCATGTACAACACTCGCCGTACATGATCATCAGGTCCCCTTAATGATCCTCTGTGAGGAGCACTGGATTGAGCCAGCAAAGGAGGAAGTGATGACTCATCAATGACATCGCAGGGGGAGGAGGAGAAATGAACAGCGCCGAGGGAGTCTAGATGTTAGAAAAAGGAGAGTTTAAAAAACGATTTTCAAATTATTTTTATAGCAAGTGGAAGGAACCCCGTGTATAACCTGGGACGGGGGCACTGTAGCATTAGGAATACATGTTTTAATGTTCCTTGAGCAATGAACGATGTTTTAAACACAGCTTTTTCTCTAACAAATCATAATCAAGTCAATCTGCGATTGGTACTATTAAATGATACAATTGCAAACTGAACTGATGGGCTAATTTCGGCATTGAATTTCCACTATATAATTGCTGCAGTGGAGATAAAAGGGGACATTTCAGTGACAGCTAAACTGGCTCCAGTATAGGCTTCAAATTAATGAAAATTGGCAACTAGCCACCCTGGATGGAGGGGGTCACTGCACTACATGATGATACAACAGGGGATTACAGGAAATACCCTACACTAAACGGAATGAGCCGGATACCGAAGAAAAGATGGGACCTCTGGTCGTCCAGTTTTACATCATTCCAAACATACAGAATAAAATATTTCAGAGCGCAGAATATAAACAGAGTTATTTACTAAAGTCAAAGGGAATTTCAAATTTAAGGTCAAAATAGCTGAACTGAAGAAATTCTCTAAGTCAGCCAACCATGCTTTCAGTTGGGCTACTCTGGTCTATACATTTGAAATTCTGACTTTAGAGAATAACCCTGAAAATACTGTAACCGAATATGCCATGTAGAGTAATGAATAATCCAATGACTCTATACTACCGCTAAATAATGATTTCTACAAAGCAGCAGCAGAGAACAGCAGGACTTCAGGCCTAAAATCGGGTCCAGCAGATGTTTCTGATACTTAGAGGGTTTAGAAAGCAGATGTAACACTTGCTAAAAAGGAACATTTGGAAAGTAGAACAGGGAAAGAGGACTTGCAGCTGCAGAATTTGAAACTTCCAATTACAGGCGTTTAAGTCGTCTATATCTGACTTGCTCTACAAAGACAGACAGCTCACTGCAAACCCAGGGATATGGCGGTGGGTGAATCGAAGGACGGCTCCTGGCACCCGTCACAATGCTCGTTTAATGGAAAAGCTTACTTTGTAAACCGCAGTCGACACAATAACAAGAGGTATCGCCAAAAGGTAGATCCCAGATTCCCCAGCTAGAATAAAACTGCAACTCCTGTAACACTTTGCCTGTCTTAACAGATACAGGGACACTCTAAATAACGGAGGTGCAGTGTAATGTAGTGGTTCTGGTGTCAAGAGACCGTCCCTGCATGCTCTCCTCAGGGTTTGAGAAAGAGGCAAAGTTCACAGTTGTCCCTAAAGCCACCATAATTTTGAAGTGATAATCTCAGCGAGGGGCAAAAGGCGTCCGTGGCAAAACTAGCACAAAGCTGACGGGTGAATGTCTTTTTCAGTTTCATTTGGTTTCTTTTTTTAAAGGGGTGGGGGAGCACCAAATGTAAATCAGACAGAATAAACAGTTACAAATATATGTTCGTATTCAGTTTAGGTCTTCTAAAAAGAAATTAAATTAAAACATTTTAAAAATGCACATTTTAGAACGAAAATTAAAGGCATTAACCAAAATAAGATTTTGGAATGTATTCATAGACTGGAAATTGTAGTTTGCAAACAAAGGAATTTCCAAATATAAAAATAGTTCTACTTGTGGGGCAGAGCCTGATTGACGAGCAAAGCAGATATGTCCTGAGCGAGCTTCTGTGTCCGGCACACCTATTATAGAGATAACTTAATTATCATGCAGCAATAGTGCACTTTCTACATAGACTGCACCTTGGTGAATCTGGGGATCCCATGTTTGCCACTCTCTTCAACTTGACTGCCTAAGGACGGGGCTTGCTCTCCTGGCGCCATAGCTGGCTGTTTGAATTAAGCATATTTGCTATCCCCCCTCCACTCACCCCCCTCTGTTTGGGCTGGTGGGAGATATCCCAGTCCCCAGTGTCCATCTAATGCGGATAGCCAGTTGCCATTTTGGCAGACCGACGTGGCTCCCAAGATGTTGGAAGCAGACATCAGAGACTCGAACTTGACACAAAATATAAGCCAAAATATTAGATTATGGAAAAATTCTCGAACTCTGTTAGACTCACACCTCGGCTGTTCATCAGTTTATCAATTTACCATAATAAATCTGTCGGTGAATAAACCTTAGGTCTACTTTATTTAGGGATTTTTTTCATTAAGTTTTTGCTCAAATGACACAGAGTAAAAAATAAAAAATAGATGGGGGCGTGGCATGGCACCAGACGAGAATGGCTGCCTAATCCTCTCGCTCCGCTCCTGCCTGCACAAAAGCACGACTAAATAGCGCAATCTGGCACCCATGGGACGCACCAGACGAGCCCAAATGACCCCCTCCACTCCAAGAAGGCAAGGGAACAACCCGCACCCCTCGATAAGAAGTTACCTGCACACTCCAGGTGACCTCCTCTCACAGGATGAGGCCTCCAATATGGCGCCCTCCTCACCAGGCTCCATGATGTCGGAAGACGGCCCCAGCATAGGAAGCAGTATGCCGTCCCCACCAGCACCGGACTGGTATGCTCTTTTTACATCCTTACCAAAAAAGGAGGACTTTCAATCCCTCCTAGAGGAAGTTAAGACCAAGCTGCGCATGGAGATCTCGACCCTCGGCACCTCCCTTACAGCACTAGAGGCGAGGGTGGAATCCCAGGGCCCCGACCTGCACTGTCTTGCGGTCATGACCACTAAAACACAAGTTAAGCAGATACAGGACCTGCACCTCCACGTCGAGTACCTGGACAACCGCAGCCACAACATAAGGGTAAGGGGCTGCAGGGAATCAGATAACCCAGATGATACTAGGGCCGGCCTAGGGAAGCCCGCATCCCTATAGACAGAGCTCATAGGGCACTGAGGCTCAAACCACCCCCGGGCGCCCCTCTCAGAGACATAATCTGCCATATACCAGACTTCCAACTTAAGGAAGACATCATGAGGAAAGCCCGTGCAGAAAGATCCTGGAGGCACGAGGGGCAGACGATCGAGCTATACAACGACCTCTCCCACCTCACCCTGCAGGCCCGAAGGGCGCTGCGGCCCTTAACCGCCGCTATGCAGGAGGCCCAAATATGATACCGATGGCAATTCCCCTTCGCCCTCACAGCCCGACAATGCAACACCGAAGCCACAATCCGAATACCGCAAGACGTCCAGGCCTTTCAAGAGGCCCTTGACCTCCCACAAATCCCCATCCCGGACTGGACCAATTTCCCGGTGAATGAACGCTCCCGCAGGAAGACCAGTTCGTCGCAACATCCAGCAGGGACCAGACACAGACTACATCCCCCTCAGCAAGCAGAGCCGGAGGAATAGAGAGGGTGCTACCCACTCTCCATCACTCAGCACCAACCTCTGGTCTGTAAACCGGAGGGCCCTACCTGCTTTAGACGGAAATGGGGTGACACCACTTCCAGAGACTTTGTCTGTGTCACCCGCGGAACACTATGCCTCTTTGAACCGCCACCCTCTCTTACTCTGGCATTATAGGAGCACAAGGAAAAGATTCCCCCCCCCCCCACCTTTTTATCTTTTACTAAATGACTTATCAGATATCGTCCACCCAGGGACTGCGTGCAACAGCACCGCACAACCTCGCACGACTGGACATCACCTTGCTCCCCCACCTGCCCTGGACAATCCCAAAGATTCTCCAGCTTGCTAAACGGGCCCTGCCACGCAGACCACCAGCATGCCTAACCGAGCACCCCTAGATGAACCACCACTTCGCCCACAACTTGTCCGGCACTGCCCACGCTCCCCCATGGCTGGCTGGGGAACAGACGCCCAGCGAACACGCTCCAACCTCACATTGGAGTTCACAACCCGCAAACTGAGGACTGATGCTTTGGCATCGCATTGAACGCTCTCCAGGAGACTGCAGTGGGGAAGAGTGACCAGATGTGAAAGTATAACGCAGGAGACCATAACCCCCACAGACACACCACCAACCGCACTCGCCCCATAAGACAGTATACACAGAGACAACAGCCAACTCACGCTTAGATGAATATGCTTACACTAGCACGACACATAGCCACACACCACACTTCCACAACAACATAGGAGCGCTGACACCAGAGAGATGGGGTTCCGGGGCTCTGCTTACCAATGGTTAAAGTATTAAACTACTAATGATACTTATCTGTGTTTTAAACTATGCGCTTAATTGAAAATGTAACATGTAACCTTATAACAGCACAAAGATTGTTAGCCGCTAAAAGGCACCAAGCTCAGCTTGACGAGACCTCCAGATGACAGGAACATAACGGTGCCATGACATGCGGCCAGGCCAACTGCCGGGAGGCGGGAATCTGATCCCAGGGGGGCAGACCGGTCACGCAGAAACATTTAGTCACATATTTTCCTGATTAACCACACAAAGCAGTGGTCCCATGACCATGCTTGATACTTCTTGACTTTCATACAAACAAACAAGAGATGGGAAGGTTGACATAGGGCACATCTCTATTTACACGAGGCAACCTAAGCTAAAACTGGGACGCATCAGAGTTAGAATTGTGCTTTCCCTCCCCCTCCCCCCCCTTTTCCTCCCTCCCCTTCTCTGTCTTCTTCTACCCCTCTCTACCCTCTTCCTCTTCTCTCCTCCCCCCTTCTCCCCTGCCACTCCCCCTCTCCTCTCCCATATCGGACTGGTTACCTTCAGGCCATGAGTGACCCACACGACGCAAACTCTTGACGAATGACACTGGGTGGCCCTCATACCACACATGCATGTCTACACTGTTTGAATTGTTCGGAATGTTACCTAAGTTCTTCTTGCTAATGTTATATACTATGTATTCATATCAAGTATGATGTTCTCCCTTTGCCCCACCTCACTCTTATCTTGCTTACCCCATGGTACGAACCATAGAGGGGCCAAAACGGAAGCCCGCTCCCACGCAACACAGACCGTTTTTATGGTCCTACCCTTAATGGGTGCCACATTACCTTACCCTTCAGAGCTACTGGGCAGCAGGAGACGGATGAGGACCAATTGTGACTCACCGTCCATCGAGAAGTCACTAGTGGGTGACCTACTTTCCCTCCGACGCCACCAACCCCACGGGTTCACTACAAACAATCTGTGAGGTGGACATACAGGACAACGTCCCTAGACTTCCACCTTCCAGCGGCACATTACCCCTAACTACTGTCGCCTCTGCGACTCAACCACACTCACTCCTGCTGCCCCACATAACTCGCTCCACCATCCCCTACCCTCTCCCTTCTTCCTTCCCTCCACAGAACCCCCTACCCTCCTCTTCTACAACACCACCTAATCCGGGGGGAACCTAGTAAGATGGGCTCGCCCCCTCACCCTCCCCACGCCCCCGGCACGGGTAGAAGCGATAGAAACAACATCAACCTCTACACGATCAATGCGAGGGGCCTCAACTCCCCACACAAACGGGCCAGGGCACTGCGAGAGATCAGAGCACTAGGGATATCTATCGCCTTCTTCCAGGAAACCCACTTCCATGCACCCCAGGCTCCTAAGTTCTCCAACAGATACTACCCCACCGGGTACTTCGCACACAACCCCTCAAATAAATCCAAGGTAGTGGCCATACTGCTCTCAGCGGACATTCAGTTCCAATTGGAAGCGGAGGTAAAGGACACGGAAGACAGATACCTCTTTCTCGAAGGGAAAATAGGCGACTCCAGAATTACACCGGCGAACTTATACCTCCCGAATAAAGGCCAGAAGCAGTTCCTGACCTTCGCCCTGAGAACCCTGGAAACATTTGGAGAAGGAACCATCATAATCGGAGGGGACTTCAATGCCCCCCTAGACCCCAGAACGGACACATCGAAAGGAACCTCCAAGATACCAGACCATGTCCTTCGGGGCATGAGGACTCTTCTCTCAGATCACCAGCTCGCAGACTTCTGGCGCATTCTCCACCATGCGGACAGGGACTACACCTACTATTCGGCACCACACAGATCCTACTCGAGAATAGATTACTTCTTCACCCAACACAGAGACCTAGACACACTGATATCTGCCCGCATAGAGCCCATGACCTGGTCGGACCACGCACCGGTGAGCCTTACCATCGAAAATCCCAGGCCCTTCAGATCGCAATGGACGTGGAAACTAAACGAATCCCTCTTAGAGGACCCACTAATACAAACAGAAATACGCACCGTCATAGAGCACTACTTCCTCACCAACAAGCCATCTGACTGCACACCACCCAACATCTGGGAAGCACACAAATGCGTCATCAGAGGGATTCTTATTAAACACGGCACTCGACTGAAAAAACATCTCGCACAAGAAATCAAACACCTCGTCGACCAGGTAGCCCAACTTGAAACATGACACAAGCACACCCTCCACAACGCTACCTACAAACAACTCCTGGAAGTCAAAGGAGAACTCAACACACGCCTAACATCAAAGATTCAATTCCAGTTCCAACTCACGAAGAAAACGTTTTACTAGTTTGGGAACAAGAGTAGCAAATTGCTCGCTAGGGCGCTGAGAATACGGAGGCAATGGAGCCATGTCCAACGGATCTCGCTGGCAGGAAAATCCCTGCTTACACCTGAGGGTGCCCCCACCCTCAGGGACCCCCTCCCGCCCGGCTCTGGAAGGGGGAAAGGGGTAATAACTTACCTTTTTCCAGCGCTGGGCGGAGAGCTCTCTTCCTCCTCTCCGCCTCCAATCCGCCCCGCCGGCTGAATGCGCGCGCAGCGGAGGGATTCAAACAATATTACTCCTCACTGTATTGCCTGCCCCCAAACCCCTCACGCGTGACCGAAGCAGAGGAGACCTTCATAGCACGCCAGAAAGCATATATCACGCAGAATATGACATCTAAGCTCCCGCCTCAAGCTATAACCGCCCTGGAGGAAGACATCAGGAGCGAAGAATCAGCTTAGCCATTAAACAGGTCAAACAGGGGAAGAGCCCAGGACTGGACGGTTACACAGAAAAATACTATAAGATGTTCGCAGACGTTCTCACTCCACATCTGCTTACCCTCTATAACTCCATCCAAAACGGAGGCTCACTGGACCCCAACTCACTTCGAGCCCATGTCGTGATAATACCAAAAGAAGGAAGGGACCCGTCCTCATGCGCTAGCTACCGACCGATCTCCCTGCTGAACATCGATCTCAAATTGTTTGCCAAGATCCTGGCCCTACGCATCAAACCGCTACTACCAGACCTCATCCACCCTGACCAGGTGGGATTCGTTGAGGGACGAGAGGCCAGAGACAACACCATCAAGGCACTCAATTTGATCCACGCGGCAAGACAGAGACCCTCACCCGCCCTGCTGGTCTCAATGGACGCGGAGAAGGCGTTCGAAAGGGTCTACTGGTCCTTCTTGCTGTCCACACTGGAGCACCTTGGGATGGCACGGATATCGGCCCTATACACCAACCCAACTGCCCGAGTACAAGTAAACGGAATTCTCTCCCATTCGAGATTAAAAACGGCACGAGACAGGGCTGCCCACTGTCGCCCCTGCTCTTTGTCATCAGCCTGGAGCCGTTTCTCAACGCCATTAGAACTCAACCTGGCATCTCAGGGATCGGAGGCAGTTGGGGAGTCAGCAAAGTCTCTGCATATGCAGATGATCTCCTATTCACTATAACCAACCCAGCACATTCCCTCAGAGAACTGATGCATCAATTCGACATATACGGCACATTGTCAAACTTAAAAATAAACTTCACGAAATCTGAAATGCTCAACGTGGGATGCCCCCAAACGCTGGCGACTACGCTACGGAACGACGTCCCCTTCCACTGGTGTATAAAGGCAATCAAATACCTGGGGACCTGGCTATCGGCAGACCTCACAGACACCTTCCACATCAACTTCCCGCCCCTCCTCGACCAGATAAAAAAGGACCTGAACTCTTGGCACCTCCCCCACATTACATGGCTAGGGAGGATCAATGTACTCAAAATGAACATACTCCCACGTCTCTTATACCTTCTGCAAACCCTACCAATACACATCCCCAAAACCTTCCTCACACAAACCCGTAAGACACTGGCAGACTATGTGTGGCACCGTAGAAGGGCGAGATTGAACTTCGCCACCCTCACCAAACCTGAACAACACGGGGGTCTGGGACTACCAGACCTTGCAAAATATCGGTGGGCCGTCCATCTCCAACGCCTGATAGAATGGATGCATAACCCGAAAGATAAACTTTGGATCCCGATAGAAGCAAGTTTCTCGCAGACACCTCTCTCTCTCTCCTCCCATGGCTACCAAAAGCCATGATAGGCGAACTTCCGAAGCAACACCAAACTCTGAATGCCACAATGACCATCTGGAGGAAAATGACACTACATAAGGACATAGCCCCGGAGCTCTCACCTCTATGCCCCATATCACACAACCCATGATTCCCTCCGGCGACGGAACCCCGCTACGCCATGGCACTGGGACTACCATCCCCCTGCAGGCTGAAGGACGTGTACAAACAGGGCACGATCACGCCCCTCGGAGACCTGGTCCCGAACACCCCACACACCTGGCTACTCCGCTTTACATACCATCAACTGACTAGGTTCCTGAAGACCATGCCCAGGCTGGACACAGCATCACCAGCGCTCTCTACCTTCGAGACTGTATGCACGAACCTCCCAACCCCACCGCACGCAATCTCGTTCCTCTACCGCTTACAAATTACACCCAACACCAATGTGCCCCTCCCTTACTTCACTAGATACTGGGAAAGGGACCTAGGACACACACTCTCTGCGGAACAATGGACCACAGTGTTTACACTCGTACACAAAGCCTCCATAGCCACAAATATTCCAGGAATCTGGGTATAAAATGATCTCACACTAGTACAGGACACCTGAGAAACTATCCGTAATGAAGGTCACCTGCGAACCGGAATGCTGGAGGTGCAGGAGGGAACTGGGATCCCTTTTCCACATCTGGTGGACATGCCCATTCTGGGAGGCGATCCATGCAGTCTTAGTGACCATAACAACTCACACCTCAAACTCACACCTCAAACCTACCTGCTCCAACTAGCCTCAATCCCCATAAACAGATTCAAAAGATCAGTGATACCGCATCTAATAAACGCGGCACGTAGTCTTATTCCGGCACACTGAAAAAACCCACGGCCCCGACGCTGAGAGAATGGCTGACCAGAGTGGAGGACATTAGATGCATTAAGGAGCTAATCCTCTCGGCGGCGGGATGCATACAGCGCTATCATGACACCTGGTACCAGTGGCCCACCTCCCCCTCTGCGAACGGAGAAAACACACAACCTTCGGGAGCAGCCAGGGGGCTCTTGTGTCAGGAAACTGACAGGGATCCAATACGCAGAGTGCGCACAGAAGGAGGTACGTATACCGGACCTTAGAATGGCCGGACTAACGTAAGGACAAAGCAAGAATAGTCAAAGGTAAGCCGAGGTCAAGGGAGCCGGAGGACAGGTAAGCGAGATACAAGCCGAGTCAAAGGAGAGGAGAGGACAACAGGACAAAAGACAAGCAAGGGTCAAAACCAGAAACACTAGATAAAGAACGCGCTGAGTGACTAGCAAGCTAGAACCACGACAGGGCAATGAGCAGTAGTAAAGATTTCCTTTAAATACCCTGTACCTAAATAGAGACCACGCCCCCAAAAGGTCCGGAATAGCGGTTCCCGGCACTTTATGCAAATGCCGACGTCATGACGTCGACGCTAGCCGTCACGTCATAAAAAGGGGGAGGAGCTAGCGCGGCCGGCGCGAAAACGGCCGAAATATGCCGAAATGCTAGGGGAAGGGAGCCCCTAAGCAGAGAGGATGTCCTCCCTGGATACATCACCAACAGGTACCCTGACATCTTGCCCCAGGAGAGAACAAACAAAGACAACGAAGCCATGATGGAGGGGTCGCCAGACCAGATGAGCCAGGACGAACACGTAGACGCCAGGCCCGGGGACGGGGGGAGCTAGGAAGCTGACCTGGGCACGAACTCTCCGAGCCCACACCTAACCTTTCACGCCTCACCCCGCCTACCCTGAGTCTTTCACCCCCCCACCATCACTACTTCTCTCACACCCCCTCCCTGACAACCCCGATCACACATAACCCTCTGCCAATGCAACAACAACTAAAAAGGAAGCCACATAGAACAACCAACACTTACACCCCCCACCCCGATACAGTAGGAACACCACAAAATGCAACCCCATTTGTTCCCATGGGACTTGACCGTGACACACACATATGACAGACCCCCAGTGACAGATCCCCCGCCACACACTACAGACCGACTAACGAACCGATGACTCCCAAACCCACCCCCTCACGCTCCAGACGGATTCGGCCGCAGCGGTATCCCGATCCACATCTCCCTGCTGCCCACGAGCCGCCCCCCCCTCCTCCCCTAAGTATTGGGCCTTGAGTTTCATGTGTGGAACCCCAGGGCAATACATACTCCACTAAATATAGGTATCGCTCACCACAGCATGTCCCTGCTACATACAGTAACCACACTAGCACCTGCCTAAATGGAAATGTATTTCTAAGTACACACCATGCTGAACTGCTCAGCACTGTAATCTGAAATGTATGAGTTTATGTCCATTTGTAACTATTGAATGACATCAATAAAAACCTTGAATAATAAAAAAAAATCAAAAAAAATCTGCCATAATAAAATTTAACCTATCCCATGCACACATATTAGGAACACAAAAAGGCAAACTGTGCGTTATCAGAAATGGAAAGAAATATCCTTTATGCCCTTCCTCATTTCAAATACATTCATCCATCTTTAGAATCTCTCTATAAAACCTTTGGTTCTAACCCTTTATAATTGCTTAAAGGGGCACTCCACTGCCCAAATATAAAATAAATAAAAATCACTGTTTAGTGGATGTACACCAAATTAAAACTTGCACACATTTAATTATTTTCACTGGGATATATAAAAAAAAAACCAAAAAAAAAAAACTTGCAAAAGCTTTGGTTATCTTGTCTGCAGCCTTTACAGACCCTCCCATTCTAACCCCGCCCAGACTTCCTGTGGCAGTCCAATCACAGTCTCCCCAAATCA